CTAGATGCATTTCCTTTAGTATTCAATAGAATTACATTTTTGGTACTCTTTTGAAAAGTACACTAAAGATACAACATGCAGAACTTTTACAAATCCACAGTACCCGCAGCTCACTGCTGTGAAGCGTTCCATAGGAATTAACCACTTCAAGTCTTGACACTTTTACCCCCTTCCTGTCCAGGCCAATTTTCAGCTTTCAGTGCTATCACACTTTGAATGACAATTACACGGTCATGCAACACTGTACCCATATTTTGGTGGTAGTTATTCACCACTGGGATTTTTTTCTTTTTGCTATATAAATGAAAAAGTCCAAAAATTTTGGGAAAAAAGTGTTTTTCGTATAACATTTTGCGAATAAATAATCTTTCTTCATACATCTTGGCCAAAATTTATTTGGTTATCTTTTTAGTAAAAAAAAAAAAAAAAAACCCCAAATTCGTTTAACCAAAAATTATAATTTTTCAAAAACATTTTTTAAATATATATATATATATATATATATATATATATATATATATATATATATATATATATATATATATGGGGTTTTTTTTTAAACATGCTGTCACCCTAGCAGTACAGTGTCACCATAGTGACACTGTGCTACTTGTGGGGGGTGATGAAGATTTTTTGGGGTTTTTTTACACTCATTGCTTTCACATCCATAAAGGCTGTAAAAGCAATCATTTCTCCTTCTCTATGACTGCATTCTTGCAGCCATTGAGAGATACTGTGAGAGCTGTGATTGGTCACAGCTTGTCACATGGTACAAGGCTGTTTAATAGCCTTGTACCATGTGACCTCTGTGATCATTCACAGATTTCACAAGTAGCAAGCAATGATGTCAGATGTAACATCTTGCTTACTACTATTCTTGTGATCACTGATTGGTCAATCAGTGATCACATGATCCGGACCTCACACAGAGGGAGCGCACACAGCCTGAAAATGCGAGCTCTGTTTATGAATGTACATGGGCCGGATGGGAAGTGGTTAAAGGAATTTTTTCATGCATTTTTCTTCTGTTTTATTTATTTTATTTTTTTTTTTTGCTTTTTTAATCCCAAAAATGGATCAGTGTGAAAGGGCCCTAAAGTTACATGTTGGACATTGACTGTAGTCAAGGCTGACATTTTATTTAATGCTTGTTCTCTTGATTTCAGCTTGACAAAGATGATATGGTGTACATGGAAGCTTACGATAAGTTGCTTGAATCTTGGCTCACATTGGTGCAAGATGATAAACATTTCCATAAAGGTTTCTTTACCCAACATGCCGTCCAGGTGTTTAACTCTTACATCCAGTGCCATCTAGCAGCTCCTGATGGCACGCGGAACTTGGTAAGTATGATCAAATTATCTCATGCCTTGCTGTATGAAAATTTTTTCTGTGGTGGTCTGAAGGTTTTCAAACGTAATCTCATCCTTACTGAAGTAATTCCTGCTGATTAGCACTTTAAACCAATACGTTGTGAAAAGTTACTAAATTATACTATGAGTTCGTTTTATGCTAACTGCTTGCCTTCCGCCCTATAGGAGAAATTCTGCTACAGGGCGACAAGGCTGTGAAAAATCAGGTGTATATATATACGTGATTCTGCGTTTCCTGGTAGGGGTGCGCGCGCCCTACCTGCTCCGCCATTGGTGGTTTCAGCTATCGATCACCAGGTCCAGGCCGGTGATTCTCCACTGGCACCCAGCAATCACCGAGTATCAGTGATGGGGGAGAGGTTTGTATGTAAACAATACAGATCTCTCCCCTGTAAGCTCAAGCACACTGCTTTGTATTGCTCTGCATAGCAGAGCAATACAAAGCAATGTGCTTACACAGTAAATCACACACAAGCCTTTGATCTCTCCAGATGTTAACCCCTTCCTGCCCAGTGTCATTAGTACAGTGTCAGTGCGTTTTATTGTAATTAGTGTCATTGGGGATGTCAGTGACAGTTTCCCCCCCTTATTGTCAGAATGCCCGCCACAGTCCTGCTATAAGTCGCTGATCACCGCCATTACTAGTATTTAAAAAAAAAAATTGGGGATTTTTTTAATTTTTTTTTTAGTAAAAACAGGTAGCAGAATACATTTTGGCCTAAATTTAAGACTAAATTTAATTTTTTTATTTTTAAATGTTACTTTAATCGCAAAAAGTAAAAAATAAAGGTTGTTTTTTTTTTTTCTCAAAATTGTCGGTCTTATTTCGTTTATAGAGCAAAAAATAAAAACCGCAGAGGCGGTCAAGTACCCCCGAAAGAAAGTTCCATTTGTGGGGGGAAAAAAGGACATAAAGTTCATTTGGGTGCAGTGTTGCATGACCTCGCAATTGTCAATTAAAGAAACGCAGCGCCGTATCGCAATAAATGGCCTGGTCAGGGGGGGGGGGGGGGGGGAATCCTCTGGAGGGCAAGTGGTTAAAGTGTATAAAAGCAAATCTTTTTTTTTTTTTTTTTTTTTGTCACCAAAACATGAGTTGAGGGGAAGTTTTGCAAGGAGATACCTGTTCAAATGCCTAACAGAAATATCCTAACTTAGGGACGACTGCCCTCCACTTCCTGTTTTGCCTCTGGGACAGTAAGTAAAGGTTAATCGCTATAAACAGAATCCAGGTGGCTAAAAAAAAAAAAAAACACGGGCAGTTAACGCTTCCTACTCTGTCCAAAAAGAAAAAACACTTTAGCTATAGTTGCGCTTTAGTTTCGCATCATCTCTCAGGTGGCTGAAACCACTCTGAAATAGGTTCCAGTGGCTGTCAATGGAGAAAAAGAGACAACTGAATCAAGTCTTATATCTGCAGTCTGTGAGGTTCTATCCTCTGTTAAAGAAGAACTCTGGGATAGGCAACAAAAAAAAAAAATCATCCAAAAGTACACCTCTCCCCCCCCCCACATGAAACAATAAACAGTTAATACATTTGTGAAATTCCTTACCATTGAACAGTCTTAATTGCATTTTCATGACCTCATCTCTGTGATTCAAAAAATAACAGCATCTGCTCTGCCAAGGAGGAGGTGTAACATCAGGGATTACATCATATCCTCTCCTCTCAGGATACTACACTTCCCATCAACCCCTGGGAATTGTAGTAAGTGTGGGTGGGTACACTAGGCCTGTACATGTTGAATGTGTACTTGCCCATGTCAACAGAAAACACGCCCACACATTCCCCAGCTGCCACTGCTATCCTCGCATGTAATCACTCACCCTCCAGTTAAAACAGAATAGGAACAAATTTCTCTGACAACATGTTTTTAATCCCAGATGAAATATGGCCACATGCCCAGAATTCGATTGTTTATCCACTGTTGTCTGCTGTAATTAAAACAGATCTCCAGGCAAAAGCTTTTTTCATGTTTTTTAGTGTATCGGCTGAAAATTGTGTTATCAGCATTTTGCCGATAGGAAAAAAAGGTGCCAATAATGGCCACCGAAAACACGATTTTACCTAGGATTTTGCTGCGATTTAAAGGGGAATTTGATCGCGATTATACCCAGAATTTGATCGTGATTTTACCTGTGATTTTGCCTCAATTTAACCGGGATTTTGCCAGGATTTTACCTGGGATTTTGCCGTGATTTTACACGTGATTTTTTTTACACGTTTTACGATTTCTGAATTTTTTTTTTTTCTTTGGCCAACTTGTTGCTGGGCAGATTAAAAACGGATAAAAAAACACAACACGTTTTCAATGTATTTCAGACCTGGTTTGTGTTTTGTCCATTTTTGCTCTTCTTTCAGTTCATTTTGCATATTTGCGCACACATTTTTGACACTTTTTTATGCTTTTGAGCTGCTGCTGCTTGTATGCTTCCATGTGATCACATTCCCGACCACAACAGAATCGAAACAAAGCACTGGGACATTAGCAGCAATAGATGCTCCCTTTAGCAGCAAACTGTAGGTGCTCCCTTTAGCAGCAAACTGTAGGTACTCCCTTTAGCAGCAAACTGTAGGTACTCCCTTTAGCAGCAAACTGTAGTAGTTACTCCCACCAAACTGTAGGCGCTCCCATTAGCAACTATAGATACATCCCACTCCTAGTAAACACTACAGTGATTTTTAATTATGTCAGCAACAAACGCATCAAAAAAGCACATGCAAAAGCACAATGCACTGCAATATGGACAAAGTGCAAACTGCACTGGTTTTTGTGTTTTTCTGAACCAGGCCTGAAATGCATTGAAAACGCAGCAAAAATGCACACTTTGTTTTTGATGAGATTTGCATTTTTAATCTGTCCAGCAACAAGCCAAAAAAAAGACAACATTCAAAAAGCGCACACCGCATCAAAAAACACGACACAAACGTGCATGCAAAAATATACTGTAAAATGGACAAAAGGCAAAATGCATTGGTGTGAACCAGGACTAAAATGCATTGAAAACATAGCAAAAACACACAAATGTTGCGTTTTTATGTGTTTTTAATCTGCCAAGCAACATGTTCGCAAAAAAAAAAAAAACAAAAACAAAACATTAAAAAAAAATGCATCAAAAATTGTGAGTAAAATTGTAGCAGAATTGCAGGCAAAATCGCAACAAAATCCTGCATTAAAATCGCGGCAGAATCCCAGATAAAATCGTGGCAAAATTGTGGCAAAGTCGCATTTTCAGTGGCCGTTTTTGGCACCTTTTCTCCTATCAGCAAAATGCAGATAGCACTGTTTTCAGCCTCCGACATATGGGTGCATCCTTGGTATGTATTGTATATACACTGTTCCTAGTGGAGGAGGGAGGTGCAGAGACTCCCTGCTGAAGCTATGGGAGGTGGGACATACCCAGAGTGTCTTGAGCTGTCATTCTCAGAACACTGCCTGGGTGGGAGGTACAGACCAGGGGTCTGACTCCTCCCACTACAGTGAGCAGGGAGGAAATGTATTACAGCTTCCTGGAGGAAGAACTACAGAAGGGCTGGGCCAAGACCAGTGGCTGGGGGAATAGGAGTAGCAGCAGCCACTGGTCTTATAAACAGAGCAACTACTGAGTAAACAAGAAGATAGATGACATATTCAATGTGCAGGTAGGAGATCGGCATAAGGACATGGAAAAACTTTTTTCCCTGGAGTTTGGCTTGAAAGCAGAGTCCTGTTTTATACCAAAGTATTAGGTGGGAAGGTCTTTATAACATAGGTTGCCCTGACAGCAAGAATGGCTGCACAGAAAGAAAACTCTCTCCTACTCCTTGGTGTCACTCCCTCTCTGGCTGTTTCATTTGAAGAATTTTGACCAGTGTGGGAGCGACTCTGTACAAACAGGTCCACACCCTTTAACAATCCTGTAGCTGCCTAGTTGCCACCAGTCTTAGGATTGCTTGTGTGATGTGGTCCATATGCTGGGAGATGCCTGAAATCCTCCTGCTCTTTGAAAGCTGGCCTAAGAAGTCCACTGCTTTCCATTAGGTCACCATCACCAGGCAGGATCACGCTGAAGAAAACTGTAAAGCTTTTCCCACCCTGCTGATCTCCTCTATGATCTTTCCAGTGTTGCCTGCACATCGTAACCTTGGAACCACTTCCTTAAGGTGATAACGGTGGACCATGTGTGTTTTGACATGACCACTTGTGACCTGTAATGTTGTAACATAACAGGGTGACAATGCAGGAGACACTTGTCACACCACAGTAGGAAGTGCTTGATTAAAGATAATGTAAACTGAACATTTCATATTCCTGGTATGTGCCTGCGTTACCATGCACTTGCATGAAAAAGTATCCTGGTCTCTTTGTATTGCTTGCTTTGTGTGAAATCCCTGGTGTTCCTGCCAGTCTCTTTGCTTTCCTAATAAAAAGTGACCACACTAAGCAGAACACACTGTGGTCAGTTCTCTAGCTGTGCTAGGTACTCAGCCTGCTCTCCTCCATTGATCAGACGTATTCTGACACCTCCCCCTGCACAGCCTTTTACTGGGAAGATCAGTGTTCTGCTGTTTCTCCTTGCCCAACTCTTATGCAGCAGAGAACAGTGGGAATGGGATCTCTTATAAAAAAAGGAAAACTATTTTTTATATTGTTATACAGGATTTATATAGCGTCAACAGTTTGCTCAGCGCTTTACAATATAACGGGAGACAATACAGTAACAGTACAGTTCAATACAAGAGGGTTAGGAGGGCCCTGCTTTTTGGAGCTTACAATCTAAGAGGAAGGGGCTTGTGGTACAAAAGGTAGTAACTGTGGGGGATGGACTGGTTAGAAGAGTAGAAGATTCCATTTTTAGCTGAGGGCAGGATAGGCTTCCCTGAAGAGGTAGGTTTTCAGAGATCGCCTAAAAGTGAGCAGAGTAGGCGATAGTCTGATAACATGTTTTTTATATCTATACACAAATGTTATACCTTTCATTTCATTTATAAACTGAATAGGTTGTTTTACTTGAAATGTTTGAATGTTTTCAAATGTTTGGAAACCACCTTTGAAATTACATTAACCATAAAACGAATGAGAATGCAGTGAATAGACTTAACTACGTGCTCTAAATGATTAAATAAAATCTCATTTGTTACTGTGATTTAGCATTTAGTTTTCAGTGATATTTTGTACATTATATTAAGTGTTTGCTATGTATCTACGATGGCTATTCCCTGTTTGTTTTAGTAATAGATGGAATGTTTCCTTCGCTACAGTTTTGGTTTAGGCGATCTACTATCCTGGTTGCTGTTTTCCTCTGTACACAGCTTGATGAGCATGTTGTGGGTTTATGTCACCCTAGGACAGGGCCAGAGATAGACAGTCCTATCTGGTGTTACAGCAAGGGTGGCCATTTTTTCAGAATTGTAATTGCACTTTGATACTCGGGGTATAAAGATGAAACACTGCAACTGTATATCACAGCCAGTCTGTAGTCATTGAGTGACACATAATTCATTCTAAATCTGGAAGTAAGTCCGACAATCCCTGGCATACTGCAGGCTCCCATCAAAGACTTACAAATTTGTTAATTCATATACATAAGATGCGGAGGGCACTATGCTAATGCAGTCGGAACAGCACGTGTTGGGTATATGAAGGGGGAGCCCGTCTCTATCAAATAAGTTATTTAGCTCAAAGTAACAAATTAAAGCACAGCTGACATTCCGCAACGCGACTGGGTTTCAAAGCGGTAGTCAGGGCTTACGAATAGATGTGAAGCTCTCTGTGGTTGGCAGCTGCAGCTTTGAAGTCACCAAAAGAGATGTGTTTGCTGGTTTAGATTAAGGAGAGACAGGAATCCATGAACTGTGTGCAAAGAAGTGTCGGAGTGTGTAGAAGATTTCCTGCACTGCGCTCGCTTAATTCTCCTTATGCATTTTAATTATGAAGCGTCCATCAGGCTACACAAATTGATAAATTATGTGACTGTCTGCAATTTACATCCATTGTCGCCTTGTATAGAGGGCATTAAAATTTCAGATTAACGTATAACTCAAGACAAAAAATTTTTTCCACCTAGCTTAGAAAGTGTTAAAACATCTTTCACACTTTACTGCTCTCTGTGTCCTCATAGAGGTGATTGTCATCAATAGAACGAGAGAGAATGCAGAATTTTACAGCTATCACTGGAGTGAAGGGTATATCTTCCAATGGGAACATTTGTTTTGATGGCAACTGTCAGAAAAAGGATTTGTCCACATTTTCGGTAGATTTCCACATCCCATTGCTTCCTGGACAGGAAGTGCTGGTGGGGACATAAACAGCAACAGGCACAAGTTCTTGCTCTATTCAAAGCTTTAAAGAAAAAAATAGAAAAGTTTGTACTGAAATAGCACCAAGATCTTATGGAGACAGCCCTATATTTATAAATAGTAATCCTTTTGTACTTTTTATACTCCTCTCAGTTACAAATGCTTCTTGGTGTATGTGTATATATATATATATATATATATATATATATATATATATATATTGTTTAATAACCACAGTGCATCTATTGTTTGTGTGTGTTACTAGTGAATGTAGGTGAGCTGTTTACCAATGGTAAGATCTCTCTACTGAAGTACTGTCCAACTCCTCCCCAACTTCCATGTGTAGTACAGGAAGAGGTATATATTGCACCTGTTGCTATACCATCTCCATATCTAATAAAAGAAGTAAAAAAAAAAACCATTGGGGGACTAAAACCCTGCATTTGCCGCAGTGGGTGGAGCTGGGATATTTAAATGAATCTTTACTAATGAATGTTTAGGCGTTTAAGCTTATTTGTTTAAGTTTTGGGTTTTGTTTTTTTTTACATTTTCCCCAAGTGGTTTTTCACTTTCTGTGTTACTCCTCTCAGACTGCTAATGGTGTTGCCACCCGAGAGGAGGAAGAAATCAATGAAATTCAAGAAGATGACCGTGACTTGTTCTCCGATCAGCTGGCCAGTGTAGGCATGCTGGGAAGGATAGCAGCAGACCACTGCATACCTCTGCTGACAAGGTATGACTACTGCCTCTGGAACTCTCTTTAGGCTCATTTCACAAAGCTATGTTTTTTTTTTTTTTTGTTTGTTTTATTTTTATCAATGACAGCCAACAAGCTCTGAGAATAGCAATTGGTATAGAAAAATACCATTCATCATACCTTAATTTACAGAGCCCAGTGTATCTGAATCCAGCTGTCTGCATGGAAGAATCTGACTGATGTTTGTGAGCAATTGAGGCTTTATGTGTATAGGCTCTTACACTGCTTCTTAGGGTATTTCTTTAACCATGCGACTTTAGATTTGTAATATATACTTTCAAATGTATCTAAACCAAAAAAAGTAATATGTTGTACAACCTTTGACAAAAGCTATGGAATCACTACTCTTGAAAAATGTTCATCCAATTGTTTAAATGTGTAGAGAAAAAAAAAAACAATCAGACATGCCTCAAAACTATTTTCATTTAACATTCCAAACTTATGGCTTTTAAGAAACACTTAAAAAAATTAAAAAAGAAAACTGTAGTCAATTGCAACTGTTTTTGCAGATCAAGCAAAGGGAAAAAAAAAAATGTGGAGTCACTCAAATCTAAGGAAAATATTATGGAATCACCATGTACTTTGCAGTTCTAAAACAAAGCTCTGCATCAGATTACATCTTTTAATTAGTCTGCAGTTAAAGAGTGAATGTACACCTTGGTGAGCTGTTGCACCAAGCTGATTGACATGAATCATAGCTCCAACACGGAATGTTGCAAAAGTTGTTGGTTGTTCCCAGTCAGCTGTGTCTAAAATCTGGACCAAGTACAAATCAATTCGAAGGTTGTAAAAGGGAGGTATACTGGTAGACCATGGAAGACATCAAAGCTTCAAGATAGAAAACTTAAAGCAATATGCTTTGAAAACAGAAATTGCACAACAATAATAAATGAGGAACAAATGGACAGAAACTGGAATCAATGTCTGTATGACATTGCCTAAAGTAAATCGGATTTGCATACAGGAAAACCATCATTAACACCTAAACAGAAAAAAAAACTAGGTTATATTGGGCTAAAGAAAATCAATCATGGACTGTGGATGACTGGATGAAAGTGATATTTAGTGATGAATCACTGATTATGCTGAAACTTTTGTTTGGTGCCATTCCAATGAAATGTATAAAGACTGCCTGAAGAAAATGTGCAAATTTCCACAATCATTCATGATGTGGGGTTGCATGTCAGGGAAGGGTACGGGGGAGATAATGGTCATTAAATCTTCAATAAACACACAAGTTTGTATTGAGATTTTGGACACTTTTCTTATTCCATCAATTGAAAGGATGTTTGGTGATGATGACATCATTTTTCAGGATGATAATGCATCTTGCCATAGGGAAAAAGCCAAAAAAACTTTCCTTCAAGAAAGACATATAGGGGTTTATTTACTAAAGCTGGAGAGTCCAAAATCAGACTCCCTTCTGCATAGAAACCAATCAGCTTCCAGGTTTCATTGCCAAAGCTTCATTGAACAAGCTGAGGTTAGAAGCTGATTGGTTTCTATGCAGAAGGGGAGTCTGATTTTGGACTCTCCAGCTTTAGTAAATAAACCCCATAATGTCAATGGCATGGCCTGCAAATGGTCCAGACCTCAATACAATTGAAAATCTATGGTGGAAATTAAAGAAAATGGTCCATGACAAGGCTCCAACCTGGAAAGCTGATCTTGCAACTGCAATAAGAGAAAGTTGGAGCTGGATTGATGAAGAATACTGTTTGTCAATAGTTAAATCCATGCCATGAATTCAACAAATTACTAGTGGTGTACTGTAGTGTGTTTTTCATTATTCCATATTTTTTTGATCTGCAAAAACAGCTGCAACTGACTACAGTTTTCCTTGTTTTTTATTTGTGTTTCCTAAAGCCAGAAGATTGGAATGTTAAATGAAAATAGTTTTGAGGCATGTCTGTGATTAGTTTTATTTCTACACAATTAAACAATTGAATGAACATTTTCCAAGAGTGGTGATTCCATACATTTTGCCAGGGGATGTAGCTCACCAGTGCTTAGCTGTTGTAGCTGCATTACATTTTTTTTTTTTTTTTTTTAGTTCTCTTGTTCCTGCACTGACACTGCTCGAGCCCCCTAATTGGTCTCCCTCACAGTCAAGCCACATGCAGCAGACTAAAGCGGAAATCTCTTCCAAAAGCTATCACCACTTCTGAAATCATTTAGTATGGACACCAGTGAATGCTCATATGCCCCCTGACTATCTTCAGATGTTCCAACCTGAACTGCCTAGTGTACTTCCATTTGCAAATGCAAGGAGGAGTTTTTAATGGAGGCTATGGAAGATTTTGCACTGCCAGAATTGTGTAGTTACTGCTTCAGCTTCTTTCCTCATACCTGGCTACTGTGGTTTAGCAGTACAGTCTAGTCTCTGAATAGATACACTTAGTGCTGCTCAATCCCCCACATGTTTTTCCAAGCATGAAAGAGGCGGCTATTCCTAGAAAACATTTCTTTGACCAAGCTGATTGGCCTTTCATAATGATTGACCCAACTCATAGAGGATATTCTCTCTTCCTGTTAATTTTGATGCCTTGTACATTATAGAAGGGGAGTTTAGGCAGAATTGGACTGTTCCTACTGTGGACCCAGCCATTCTTGCACCAAATAATCAATCTACTCATTCTGTTGAAGTCATTCCCTCCTTTGAGGATTCAGTTGGTATGCATTTGGAGACACTTTTGAAGTTCTCTTTTGTCCTGCAACCAGCTATTGCCACCTTGTCAGTTATCCAGACCATGGCAAACTTGACCAGAGAAATTAACAGTGAGCTTTATTCAAATATAGATGAACCTAATCTTGCTACAAGGTTACAACTCCTGCCCTTGGCACTGCTGTTCTGTGTAGACGCCATGGAGAACATGATTGGTCAAATCTCCAGAATGTTCTTTGCGTATGCACAAAATCTTATGGCTTAAAGCTTGGTTAGGGGACCATCATAATGGAAGGTGCCTTTGCGCATTCCCTCCGAAAGCGAGCTCCTTTTAGAAATTTTCCTTTAGGAATACATTGAGGAGGCTAATGAAGGAAAGGGGTTCTTACCCCACTATCCTTAATCACACTTCTCTTTTGAATGGCCCTCCCCTATAGTATGGATGCCATCTGTTCGCTCCTTCAGGGCATCTACATCTACTGCAAGCCCTTCACCTTGTTGCAGACCCTCCAGCTCTAAGCCCATCAGACTTGCTGAAAAGCCACCTTCTCATTAAAGCTCCCCCACCCCTATTGACAATTACTCCACCTAAGAGCAAAGATGTTCAAGCCCTTTATTTCATTCTGCTCTTTGGAAAGGTACACAGAGAGTCTCCATTGCTGTTTGCTCTCATTACATCTCTGTAATCCATCATATGAGGTAGTTTTCACCTAAGTGAACCCCATCCTAGAAATTGTTTCTATTCCTCATCCTGCAACGTCTTCCATTTGCAATCACAAAACCCCTTGGTACCCAGGATGTCTTAGTCTGGCGTTCTGTATCTTCTTCTTGACACTTTGGCTTTTGCACTCTTGTGTACTCTTTTTGCAAGAAGTTGCTCTTCTTTGTTGCTGTTGCAAATTTGTGTCCATCTGGTGTTTCTTTGCTTCTCCTACCCTCACAAAACAATATATACCTCAATTTTTTTGTAAAATATGAAAGCGGATGCTACGGCGAGTAAATAGATACCCAACATGTCATGCTTTAAAATTGCGTATGCTCGTGAAATGGCGTGAAACTGCAGTACTTAAAAATCTCCATGGGTGATGATGAAAAAATTTCTACAGGTTAGCAGTGTAAAGTTACAGAGGAAGTCCTAGTGTGAGAATTATTGCTCTTGCTCTGACGTTCGTGGCAATATCTCACGTGTGGTTTGAACATCGTTTACATATGTGGGCATGGCCTACGTATGTGTTCACCACTACGTGGGAGCACAGGGGGATGGGGGCACATTAAACTTTTTTTTATTATTTATTTGTTTTTTAAAATTGTTTTTTTTTTTTTTTTTTGCACTGTCCTTTTAAACAAAATTGTAATCACTTTTATTCTTATCACAAGGAATGCATGCACCCCTTGTGATAGAAATAATTAGTGACAGGTCCTCTTTATGGAGAGATATGGGGTCAATAAGACCCCATATCTCTCCTCTGCAATGTAAAGCATTGGTTCAAAAAAAGCATTGATCTAGCGCTTGGGGAAAAAATTGCTGGAACGGGAAGTGCCATCGCTCTGGTCCTCCAAGGGCAGAGAGATGAATGGCGGCCATCTTTACTTCACTCATCTCTATGCCCAGCGCCGGGATCAATCGTTTCTCAGGTAAGACTGAGAACTACCGAGCGGCGGGCGCCGTCGAGGATGGGGGTTTTTTCAGCACCTGTATTGGTGTGTTTTTCAGCCAAAGCGTTTTGGCCACGGAAATTTCGGTGCATCTCTAGTAATAATTAGGATATATCTGTAATATCTAAATCTTGGAGTACAGTATAGGACACTCAGTTCCCTTCCCTCTTCCCATAATCTCCTTACTGCTTGCTAAAGAAACAAAAATGCTGGTACCTCAGTTGGTGGGGTTATATGGGTACACAGAAGAAGGGGGAGCTGTTCCCCGCAAAGTTTTTGCCAGTGTCTAGTCACATTAAGGTAGCAGCACCCATAATTCATATGCTGTAGTCCAAGATATGTCCTCAGGCTGGCTTTTGGAATGCCTCATCCAGACTTTGCTCTACTGGACATTATGGGGTTTGCCTGCAAGTAATCTTTGGCGAAACTGTTCCAAACAAGGGGCTTTCCAGACTCTGTTCGGGTGAGAAATTAGATGTGAAGCACTTTCTAAGTTTAGAGTCTCTGGCATTGCCTCAGCACTTGCCTTGTCTCTCAGGATCCACTTCATCATTACATTTACACTCTTTCCCGCCACACATTATGGAGAAAGCATCTCCCTGCTGATGCTTCTGCTTGCAAAGAGCCACATGGAACTCAGATCTTCAGTTTATTCCGGCTTGCCCACCTACAAAAAATTTGGTCTTCTTTTGCCATTCAATCCTCACCTGCTACTAGCTGTTTTGTTTTAGTAGGTATGTGAGTTTTGCCTCTTACCTCCTGTCTTAAGTTGCCTTACCATTATTCCCAGGTGCTCACAGAGTCTGTTCTGTCATCTGGATCCTCTTTTGCTCCATCCGGTGTGATTTCCACTACAGTCATGCAGGTTTTATGGCTCATATATTTGCCGTCTCTGACTGATACATGCTCCAATGCATTTCCCTGCAGATTTTGTATCCAATTTACTCTCCGATCTCATATTTGGAGAGACTGTTTCCATTCTCTCCAGTCCAGAGAGTATAAAGTGTCATACCCCATAGTTCTTTACACCCATGACCTGGCGGAACAGCATCCATCTGAAATGGAATTAAGGGCATGAGAAATGGAAATAGTACCCATCAAGCTGGAGCGGGGAATGTTCAATCCACAATTAACTCAATGACTGCAACATCTTTGAGTTAAATAATACAGATTAGTATATCATGATATTAACAAATCCATCATTCATAAAATAGTTATTCAAAACATTTAATTACAGTTAAAATGGACAAAATTATAAAAAAAAAAAAATAATAAAAATGAAAATAAAAAAAATGAAAAATAAAATTAAAAGTAAAAATAAAATTAGAATTATAAAAAGAAAAATAAAGATCCAAAAATTGTAAATATTGTTATATATTCACATAAAATGAAGCTGCTAAGCTTCAAACAATATAAAAACACCAAAACGGACCATTACACTATATTACTCTAAAAATAAGAATGAGAGTAAGAAGATGCCTTTTATCTACATCCAATACTTATTCATGAGTAGCGTGCATTCCCATATAATTACAGGTTCACAGGTGACTAATGAAACCGTTTAAGTCTAGTTCTATATTAAGACCTCCAGGGGTTAAAGATTTCAATAGATAAATCCATTTTGTTTCTCTCTTAAAGAGATCTCTCACTTTGTTAGACCACCTCCATGATGGTGAAACCCAATTAACCCCCCAAAATTTGATCTTGGAGGGATCTTTATCATGATAACGGGCAAAGTGTTCTGACGCACTGTGATGAACATAACCCTTCCTAATGTTTTTAATATGTTCAGCTATTCTCACTTTTAAAGGACGCTTAGTCTGACCAATATACATTAGTCCACAAGGACATACCATAGCATACACCACGTGTGTGGTGTCACACGTGATATATTCTGAAATGATGAATTCACGCCCCACCATATTAGAGGTAAAATTGTGTCTTATAGTTAAATTATCAGTGACCGTACGCAGGCTTTGCAATTCCAACAATTGAAGAAGGTGTTTGTGTCCCATAAATAAACTTTAGTTTATGTGACACTACTCTGAAGGAGCCTGTCCAAATACTCTCCCAATCTGGCCATCACAGATCCTATGCCATTTACAATGGGGCGGCCAGGTGGGCACTCTGCATTTTTATGGATTTTTGGCAGTGTGTAAATGACAGGTATCCTGCATACACCAAGGATAAGATACATTTTCTCCTTTTTTAGTTAGGGTATGAGCCTTATAACCAAAGTTGATCAGCCTTTTTTAATTCTTCCTTATATTCGTGAGTTGGGTCTCTTCTCAATTTACAATAGGTTTTTGTCATCTGATAGCATAAGATCTAATTGCTTAGTGTAAATTCTTTATCCATGATGACAATACCACCTCCCTTATCTGCTGGTCTTACAATAATGTCCTGCCTTTTACCTATTACCAACCAACCCATGGAATGTCATCTGTGTATCCCTATTGGTGTATGGGAGATGGTGATTGTCGTCTTTAAGCGATTTAGCCAACCATGAGAATGGGGGGCATATTTATCTGGTAAGTGCACACCCGAAAGGGTGGACACTTTATTTTGCGTGGTGAACTTTCTTGGAGAATTTGAAGAGTTTGTGGGTTCATTAAGGAATTTTTCACATCAAAAGTCAAATTTTGATATTCACTTTATTTTGCACTACTGAATCACTTTAATGTTTTTTTGGGTCACATTGATTTATTAGACGTGGTAGCAAAGATATGAGTACTATTTGCATATATATTTGGCATGTAATTTTAAGTGCAGTTTTTTTTAAATTATAGAATAGAATGTGTAGTTTTTAATTTAACACTTAAAGTGGCATTAAACCCAAAAGCAAACATTTATCATATTGCAGCTTACCAGTTTTTAGATGTGATGACTTTTCAGGCTTGCTTTCTTATATTTTCATCCAGTGGTCTGGCCAGTAGCTCTGATGTTTTTCAAAAGAGCAGATTGTATCAGTTGTAGTGATGAGACCAACCATTCAACACTGACAGGGCTGCTTACAATGATCAGCTTTCATTTCTTTATGTAAAACCTTTATCCCAAAAGGAAAAAAAAACTGCTTGAATTGCTTATAAAGTGTTAACTGGAGTTAGGCTTCAATTTGTTAGTGTATGTAAGTCTGCTAGTACATTTAATCTCCTCTCCCCTGAATGGCAATGCTGCTGTCCGAAGGTGCCCCCTGTGCTTAATTATCCAGATTGGGGGCACTCTAATACAGGAGGTACGTTACTAGCCAGATCACCAGGTGATAACAATGGGCAGAAAAAGCCAAAGAAAATTAAACTAATGCAGCCACTACATCTAATGTAAAATGCAAGTTACATTTTTGGTTTTGGGTTTAATATCACTTTATTTTTCATTTAAATGGACCGTGATCACAGTAGAAAGAAAAAAAAAATTCAGCCATGAAACAGATTGTTGGTATCCTTGCTGCCCACTGATCCGAAACTTCATTGTTCCTGAAAAGTGATGAAGTTGAAAGCAGTTGTATATCTGCTTGCCATTTTCTGAAAACAGGACTGGTGGAATAAAAAATTGGCACTACTAGAGAATACTATTGAATACTACTACTACCAAAATCAGTGGCCGAAACCTGTGGACAAACTTGTGCTGTGTCCAATCACAGCACAGGTTGCAGGGCACGCGCGCACATGCTCCCGGAAGCAGGTGGCAATGTACATTGCCGAACCTGCAGCTGACACGCTCACAGTAGATGTACTGTGAGCAGGCGGCCAGTGGTTAATATATTCTGTTGAATCAAAGATCAGAAGTAAAGTCTAATTTTCATTAAGTATAGAATAAACAATAATGAATACCAATTACTTTTGTCAGTTTCAAGTTATTTCAGAGAAAATTGTGGGTTATTTTTTTTTTTTTTTTTTTTTTTTTTTGTAGAAGGCTACCAACAAATTTGTCCACATCTGTGTGTATTACTTTATTTGCAATAATCGCTCATAGCAGAAATGTAACATACTGGTCCATGGTTTGGTGTACAGATGTGAAGGTTGAAGTAAAGCAGACCCAGAGTCAAGAACTGACTTTAGGTCAAATGGTACACTCCGCATCTGCCATTTTTATAAAACTGACACCCAAAAACATACCTATCTGCTGCAGGTGAGTCCCTGCAGTGGTAGCTGCCTCACTTTGACTTCCCGGGCTAGAATCTGTGTGAGGCTTAAGTTCTGACTGGCTGCTTTGGGTGACTGTCATCCCAAGTCTGATACCAGTACAGGCTGGCAGAAAATGAAGGGGCCTAAAGCAGTTAATTTAGTTTAGGTTGTCATACTGAGCTGTGGGAATCAAAGGAAATACCCAGGACTTTTGGCTATGGAGATGTATGCGACTTATTCATTGTGACAGCACTTGGTCAATAATCCCTGTCGCAAAGGGAGCCCCTAACCCTGTGTAGGCTACAACTTTCCTTTGCTTTGTTTGGGTGAAGGGAGTGGCAGGGGAGCAAAAGAAAGTTAAGTATATGCTGCTTGGGAGGACTGCATTAAGATTAACCTGTTCTTTTGCCCTGTATAGGCAAAGCATAGGTTCACTTTAGGAAGTTGTTGATTTTGTCTCTAGATGAGCCTAAGATGGCCACCCCCAGCAATATAAAAAATATAAGTATGAATTCTTTCTATTAAGAAGATACTTATTTTTAAAGGTGGATAAAAGAAAAAGTGACAGCCGTGTCACATAGATGACATCCCTTATTTAGACTGTGCAAACCTTGCCCTTTCAGCTTGCTGGAGGACAGAGTGACGAGACTTCATGGGCAGCTACAAAGGCACCAGCAGCAGTTACTGGCTTCGCCAGGTTCAGGCTCGGCAGATAATAAAGTTCTGGATGACCTGTATGAGGACATTCATTGGCTTATTTTAGTTACAGGTAAGTGATATATCTTCCTTCAGTCTTGCAGTGCATGTTCTGGAGCTTGTGGGCTGTTTAGAGCCTTGACCGTGTAACCCATTACATTTATTTCATTGTACTCCTGCATCAAGTGTTCGATATTTAATGTATTCATAGCTTACTATGTGAAAGTGTTCTGTTTTTTTTTTTTTTTTTCTTCCTTCCTTCCTTTGTTGACACATCAACTACAGACCTCTGAGGTTGTCCTCAAATAGTCTGTCTCACTGGAGTCACTTAGCTAGGTGACCTCTGAGGTTGTCTCTAGACAGTCTGAGATCCTCTAGGAAGAGTTCACAGCTGAGGTCAAGTTAGTTTACAACAGCTCAGTCACTTTGTATCATGTTTCAGACTGTGTCAGAACAGTCTTGAGAAAGTGCCACAGCCTGCAGTTTTGTATTTATCATAACACAAGTCATCCCTCTGCTGCCAACTCATTTCCTAAGCCTTTGTTATGCCAAGCTGTATTTCTTTATTTATCTCTTTGTGCAGGCTACCTCTTAGCTGATGATGCTCAGGGTGAGACTCCATTAATACCTCCAGAAATCATGGAATACTCAATTAAGCAATCGAATGACGTTGACATCAAACACAACACTTCAGGTCCTGGGATCTCCTGGAGAAAAAGCTTCATCTATTCCGGGTTGTAATAGGACGGACTCTGTGATCAGGTCAGTCTGAGTGGACTTTATGTGTTGAATTACAAACCCCTGGAGGGCTAATGACCGGTTCACTTGCCTCCAGCTCTCTATTATAACAAAGTTCAATTTTTTTTAATAAATTTAGTAAATAGGTGGAACTGAGCTGTGTTGCTTAATAGTTGTAAAGACAAAACTTTATATTTGAATAGAGCAAGGAAGGGTACGTTTTTATTTCTGTCTGTACCCTTGCTGGAAAAATTCACCCTCTCTATTTGCCCTTTTGACCATTGCCACAGGGGGGAAAGCATTTATTTAAAAATTGTCAACAGAACAAGAGGTGAGGGTAATTTTTTGCATGGAAATTTGTGTTTTGGTGAGAACTAAGAGGAGAGCACAACTGACTTTTTGTAGAGCTGTCCTCTTGCTTTCTGTGCATTTGTTGGGCAGGAGGTAAAGGGAAAACTTCTTAATGGTTCACAGGCAGCAAAGAATAGACAACTTTAACCCTTTCTTACTTTATGTAAAGTGTAAAACCCAGATTACCACATTGCAGGAGTTTAAAGTTTAGGGGTAGAGGAATAAAGTGTAATACTTATTATATCCCTTGCTTGGCAGACTTTTACAGTGTGCAACCGCTTCCCGAAAGCCTCTTTTAAAATGCTCCAGCTGATGGTCAGACTGATGTCATCGCATATAATGCATGTCCAATAATCTGGCATTGTATGTGAGGCTGGTGAGGGCTTGTCCACAACCCGCAGAATCACTGAGAAGAGGAGAGCTCTGGAATGCTGCCTGAGTGAAGAATCAGCAAAGTATTACACCTTTTTCCTTTCTCCACTAGACTTAATGAATGCCCCCACTACCAAAACAAAAAGGCTTTGGATTTACATGAACGTTAAAAGTGGTATTAAGTAAAACATTAGTACGAAAGCAGTATAAAATAAATCTGCCCTGAATCAGGAAATTGGCAGCTTCTTCTGTGGGATCTGAGCAGCCATAGCACACACAATGACGTCCATATCTTGGGTATAGTGGTGCACCGAAATGAAAATTCTGGTGTCGAAACCGATAATTCAGAATTTATGTGGCTGAAAACCGAAACCAAAATGTCTGCGTATGTGGGAGTGGGGAGGCTCCAATTTTTTTTGTATTTTTTTTCTACTTTCGTGTATATTTTTATTTTTTAATTTATGATTTTATTGCTATCACATAGGGGGGACCAATAGTTCCTTATGTGATAGCATATGAGTGACAGGTCCTCTTTGGGGGGGGGTGGGGAGAGGAGCAGTGGAGGAGCAGTGTATACAGTGAGGTAGCAGTGTATATTATTTTATTATTATTATACAGGATTTATATAGCGCCAACAGTATACAATATAACGGGAGACAATACAGCAACAATACAGTTCAATACAAGAGGGAAAGGCGAGAGCTTACAATCTAGGAGGGAGGGGCTAGTGGTACAAAAGGTAGTAACTGTGGGGGATGGACTGGTTGGAAGAGTAGAAGATTCCATTATTAACTGAGGGCAGGATAGGCTTCCCTGAAGAGAGAGGTTTTCAGAGATCGCCTAAAAGTGAGCAGAGTAGGCGATAGTCTGATAAATTGGGGTAGAGAGTTCCAGAGGTCTTGCAAGGAGCGGAGAGTACGGTTTGGGTGTATACAGAGAGGCTTCCTCACTGGCTGTCACTATATGTCGGTGCCGGTTTTTAAATGCTATTGCCGGCTTTTTTTTTTTTTTTTTCTTCACTATAGCTTACAGAATTAGCTGTCACTTTCTCCAGAGTTAAAGGAAACATTGTTTCCCCTGTATCGGCTAAATTTTTCCTATCAGCATAATGCCGATAGGGCTCTTTTCAGCCGATCTGTTTCAGTGGCTGAAATTTCTACTTAGTTGTGGTGGTTTTTCAGGTTTTTCTCCTTTTATTTTAAATAATGTTGGCCACTTCCTGTCCTATGGTAACAATGCAAACTTTAGACCAACTTTATGGCTTGCTTTCAAAAAGCTTGGAAGAGATATGTATAAAGTAATATTGGATAGCTGCACCCACAAATGAAAAAGCACCAAGTGTGCATAACCTGATGACCGCTTTGTCTGTTTTTTTATATATATATATATATATATATATATATATATATATATATTATTATTATTATACAGGATTTATATAGCAGCAACAGTTTGCTCAGCGCTTTACATTATATATATATATATATATATATATATATATATATATATATATATATATATATATATATATATATATATTTCCAGCGGTATGCGTTCATTCTTTGTCAGCAATTGTATCTTCCGCCACATTGACTAATCATGGATTTGCACATTTTTACAATACAGGTTACTGTCTGCTGTCTTAAGAGCATCAGAAGTAGAATCCAGGGCCACGAGGGCAAATTTAACGCATCTCTTAAGCCCTCAAATGGGGAAAGACATTGTCTGGTTCCTGAAGCGATGGGCAAAGACATATCTTCTTGTAGATGAAAAATTGTATGACCAGGTAGGAGGCATACAAATATATCTTAGTGTATAGTACCTGTGGCAGTGACTTACTAAAGCATTGCCCACTTTGTCTTGCAGATCAGCTTACCATTGAATACAGCGTTTGGAGCTGACACAGAAGGTTCCCAGTGGATCATTGGTTATCTTTTGGAGAAAGTGATCAGTAATTTGTCAGTGTGGAGCTCTGAGCAAGAGCTGGCCAATGACACTGTCCAGTTACTGGTAGCTTTGGTAGAAAGAAGAGAACGGTGAGTAATGTAGAAGTAATGCCATGATCTTACCTGTGGCAATTATTGGTTCAGTTGCCTTTTAGACCGAGTGAGGTTATTATCCTTCCTCAGTCGATTCCCTGTTATTTCCTCTGCAGAATCTAGCAGTCTCACAATTATTTCCTTATTCAGCCCAAGGCACCATTCACATGAGTGTATTTTTGATTCAGATAAATGAATGTGAAACTGCACACACAGTGCTTCTTATGTGATTTTAGTCAATATATCTGTTTGCATGTCTGCTTTTTCTTCATGTGATTCCAGTGCTATTAACAGTAATGGCACATATGTCATAATTCAATGCATGCAGTTTCACATCCATTTAAAGTGCATCTCTAATGAAATATCCTGGAAACACACCAGGAAATGAGAGTAAATACACTTAAAGGCTAAGTTAGCCTTTTGTTAAAAATAAATAAATGCACATCTTTATGGAGGTAAGAAAATGTGTATTTATACATTTTTTACATTGCAGCCTGTAAAGCATTGCACTTGCAATCAATAGGCTACAGGTGCAAAGCCTGGATCCTGCAAACCCTGTCAGCTGTCTGCCTGTACCTCCTGTACAAGCAGGCAGTTACTGAACTGCAGGAAGAATCAATGAAGTACAAGAGTGCTCACCAGCACCCTTGCAGTTCATTAAGAACTACAAGCTATTTGCCACAATGGCAGGTGGTACTTGTAGTCTGTTCATTCACAGGAAACTGTGAATAAATGACGCAGGGAGAAGATCCCCCACCCTCTGTCATGGAGAGGAATGCTGGCGGCTGAAGGTGGGAGCATAGGAGTTATACCTTAAATATGCGTGTACCATGTAACATGCTCCATAAACGTATCCCTTAGGGTGAGGAGAAATTTCCTCTTTGACAAGTGTCCCTTGAATGATTGTTCCTATTGGAAAATTCCCTGCCCCTCCTGTTCCAGTGACATCTTTAAAATGTAGATTTCACTGTCTGTCTCGTTAACAATGGTTACCAGAACAAATGGTGTAAATCTCTTCGACAGGCACATAGACTGCAATAGAACCTGGTATAGGTTTTAACTCTTCCTTACTATAGCCAAAAATTTAAAAAAAAAAATAATAAATAAATCTGGCTATAGCGATGGCCTCCTTGCACATATGTCCCTATTGCACATACACTATTTACAGGTACATACTCTAAAAGTGTCAGCCGAGGCTTCTGACATTCACCCTTGACCTAAAATGGCTTTTCGGTTTCTTTAGTCAGTTGTGGATGCAGGGTGTGCAAAGTGTAACTGATAGCCAGAGGCTGCTGCGTAAATACAGCAGCTATAGAAGCTGCTGGTGTAAGACTGTCTGACACTGTTTATAAACCACGATTACCTTATTTATTTCTGTTTAGCTTTTCATCTGCAGATCAAAGAAATTAGCTTCAATCTGCTTACTTTATATAAACAATAGTGCAGCGCTCAAAACTAATGCAAATGACAAAAAAACACATACAGCTGATAAATACTAGTGCCAACCCTTATTCAAAAATACGAAATTTAAGTGCCACTTATATATAAAATAGTGCAGCGCTCAAAACTAATGCAAATGCCAAGGGAAAAAAAAGGTACGCGAGTCCGTAGTTCCGGTGCGTGGTGACGCATTTCCGGCGTGAGACGCCATCTTGCTACACCCGAGAGGTCCCATTCGCATGCAGTACACCCACACATCAGTGAGGAGGGAGAATGTCTGCAATGTGAGTGTAACCCCTTTTTTTACTCTTTGGAAATAAACACAAGTAATTTAATACTACACTTAGAGAGTTTCTTTTTGGCTCACCGGTTTGGTGAGCTACTACTCCCCAGGACTGCCCTGACTGACTGGGGGCTCTGTGGAATCCTGCTGAGGAGATCCAAGAAAGAAAGGAAGCTGCTGGCCTTTACAATTTAAGGATCCAGGTGATCCTGCATGCCTGTTGGCCCTTCGGGGTCAGTAGGAGGAGGTGAGGAGGCATTTTAGCCATACACGGAAGGATTTTTGGACACAGTCACAGTTTTATCCATCATCACAGATGCACATCGCATGAATATAAATATTTTTTTTTCACTAATAGGACATTGTTCTTGATCTTAACACTTATGTGGTTTTATTTGTGTGGCACTGTGTGAGCACTGTTAGAGTTTTTTTTTTCCTTATTGGACATTTTCTTGAAGCAAATACTTATTAATTTATGCACAATGTATTTATGGTCATGGTTTGGCACTCCAATTTCTTATTTTTTTGATTAAGGGTTGGCACTAATATTTATCACTGTTGTATGTTTTTGTTTTTTTTTGTTTTTTTTTCCCTTGGCATTTGCATTAGTTTTGAGCGCTGCACTATTTTATATATAAGTGGCACTTAAATTTCGTATTTTTGAATAAGGGTTGGCACTAGTATTTATCAGCTGTATGTGTTTTTTTGTCATTTGCATTAGTTTTGAGCGCTGCACTATTGTTTATATAATTTATTCACACTGAATTTGGTATCAGTTTTGAGTGCCAGCAGCTAGCGATAAATTTTAGTAGGTCCATTTGTATAGCGCAGGAGGATTTCAGATCAATCTGCTTACTTTACTATCATCAATCCTACTTAATTCCTCTTTCCTTTTCCCTCTTAAATAATGGAGATATGGGTGCTGGCAAACAAACAGTAAGCAGCCTGGTATGACCCCTCCTACTCCCAGAAAGCTTCAGTTTGTTAGTGTTCTGCTGAATGGATGTCTCATCTGAGCTTCATTTTTCCTTTAACCAAGCTGATTTTTTTCTTTAGTCAGGATTCCTCTACAACCTGCTTAGCTAGTCTCTATATGCAGCTATTCAGATTGTCAGCTCGTTAGCACCAGCTGTGGAGGCTATAGCCAGACTCCGCTAAACTGGTCATTTGCAGGGCTAGCCTAGAATATGACATTGAGGAATTGGGCTCTACACTGTGGCACTTCCATTCCAGAGTGTACTGTGATAGCCATACAGTGCATTCCAGGTCCAGGGCTGTGGCACAGCCCCAGGTATGACCCTGTCTATGAAGACACACTTTGTGAATAGGCCATGTGGGTGAGCATCAGAACCACTGAAGGGTCCGATACGAACAGCCTAGAATTTTGCTCTCTGTTTGATTTTGCGCCATCTTTCAAATCTTCCTTTGCTGCATTGGGCATAGCATCCACCTCTTCTCTATCCTGATAGGATTTCATGGCAACATTTCTTTTGGACCAAGTTTCAGCTTTCATTGCTGACTCTGACTGTAGAAACCACAGGCATGCTTCCACACCTTAAGCAGCAGAATCTATACCAGATCTGAATTAGTGGCATCTGAATGACCTCCTGCTGAGGCATCAGTTTTCTTGGAATAACTTGGTCTCGTTCTAGACGTAACTCAAGCCAGAGTCTTTCTTCCTCAGGAGAAACTTCAAATTCTCTGCTGCCAGTCCGACCCATTAGTCCAGGAGTCACCTGACTCCATTTCTGCATGAGAGCTCTCCGACTGATGGTATCCATGGACTGAGGCAGTCTCATGTGAAAATTTCCTTTCTAGACCTGTAGAGTCATTCTGTCATTGTGGGACTGTTCAGTCTTTGGACAGATTTATTTGACACTGTCCTTTGCCTGGTGGCTCAGGAATTCAGCTCTAGAGTTGGGGAATTCCATGCCAGTCTGTCAAGTCCTTAATACTTGTATGTGCTGCACGTGGACAGTTTGTGAGCTCTGTTTTGTCGTTTGCCAGTGTTCAAATCCTTCTAGGGGCGGCAGCATAAACCAAAAGTCTCATAATTCTTGTGTCCTTCAATTCCAAAACTGTATTTTATTATAAGAACAAAAATTTCATTTTAATTTTTGTTGGTTTTCTAATTTGTCTTTTTAGTTTTGAATTGGAAAAAGTTTTCATTGAGAACTACAAAAGTCGGCCTCAATGGCTGACGGTGCATGTAGTCTATTCATTCACAGGAAACTGTGAATAAAGGACGTGGCCATGTAAGTCGAGCCCTGCACAGCCACCTTGTATTTATATTGTGACAGCAGGTACGGGGAGAAGAAGAGAGTGCTGGCAACGAGAGTTGGGTTCACAGGAGCATTATACATTTTACACAGTAAATATGAATGTAACATGCTCCGAAAGGTGAACTTATCCTTTAAACCTTTTTAAGGGATAGATGTTGTAAAGGAAGCTAAGCTGCTAGTTCCATCCACCTCTCATGAACATTATGAACAGGTGTTGCTATTCCTGTTGTGTTCTTCATTTATAGAGAATGTAGTAGGAGTGTTGAGATATCTCATGTAAAAAATGAGACTTCCACCTTGAGACAGACCAGGAACTCTAGTCAGGGCATCTCATTGCACACGTTTACTGTATTATCTTAACTGTCCTGCTTGGGATTATCCCATAGCTGTCGCTTGTTTTTGATTCTGGAATTCTACTTTGCAGGGCTAATTTGGTAATACAGTGTGAAAATTGGTGGAATTTGGCCAAGCAGTTTGCACGGAGAAGTCCGCCTCTTCACTTCCTGTCCAGCTCTGTGCAAAGGACGCTCATGAAAGCTCTGGTACTGGGTGGATTTGCCCACATGGACTCAGAAACAAAACAGCAGTACTGGACTGAGGTGAGAGGACATAGCGTGGAGTGTGGAAGACTCGGGGCCTGTTTGCATCTGTGCATTTTTCTGTGATCGAGTACATATTACAGCAGGAAAATACAAGACAAATACCAAGTTATGCTATTTAAATCTTTGCATTGTAGCAGACAAAGCAAATTCCCAAACCATTTCAAATAACCATCCCCCTGTTACCACAATCTGGCCACATTATTTCTATGCACATGGTGCCCATGGAGGGGGGTTCAGAAGGTTCTGTTGGTGTGGTTTGAAAGTGCAGTACATGTTGCCGAATCGCATGGCA